ATTTTATGGTCATGTTTATATGAGTAGGTAGTACTGTGTCTCACAGCCCCTGCGATGCAAATGTGAACTGCTGGATAGCCAGCAGGTGGAGTCATCCATAATGGATGTGCTGTGCTCCGAAAAGTTGAATAAGTACGACTGGACACGTGGAAATTTCAGTTGGAAGCTGAGACCAAGGAAAATATAAGGAATGGAACTGGAAAATGCCACGAGTGTGGAGGACACAAAGAGCTAAAACTTTAGCAGAAAAAGAGGAGGGACCTGCAAAATGTTTGGAATAGCAAAAAGCTGGAGCAATCCTGGAAACACTTCTGTGGCTTGGATCCCGAGGCGTAATTCATGCTGTTGTAATTTGCACAGATGGCGGATGTCTCAAGGGAAGGCTTGAACAGCTGGGAAACATCAGGGTGTGGGCCAGCTTCAACCGCACACCCTTTCTTTATCCCTGAATCAGTCACAGAAGTGAAAGGTGATACCAAGATCGCTGCAGAAAATATCTGCAGGCTATTCTCTGCCCTGTGAGATGGCTTCTCTCACTTATTGAGTCCTGTTAAGGGCCAGCTTAGTTTGGCATTTTGTGTATAAGAATGCACTTTCAGAAGCTTTTCAATAAACCCATTAGGGAGGAAAAATCAGCCTCAACTCCAGAGATCAGCCATGTAGTAAATTGAGTTGCAGCTAAAGGGCCCTAATAAACAGGGTGCTTCACTGAAAATGAACAGGAGTTACATGATAACACCCATTCCGTTTGTATGATATGCGCAGCCACCACAGTGGGTGTTTTGCTTTGTCCTTTGCTCCATCTGCCTGTTACACCAGGAATGAACGTTGCCTCTGGCGGGGCATTTGCCCTTCTCGAGCTGTGCGGCCTCCAGCCTATTTGGAAATGAGCAGTTGTAAATAATGATTCATGCTGTCTGTTTGTCTGTGTGCCCCTGTAAGCTGAATAATAATGTCATGGCCACTCAGCTGCTACAGACTCATGTCTGAGAGAGGAGAGGGTGGTACAGCCATGAGGTACTTCAGAGACACAGCCAGGGACATGTAGCCAGGCTACCAGAGGACTGCATCAACAGCTGCCATTGCTGGCCCTTTGATGTGAACTCCAGCCTTCAACTACTTCTGGTTCACTCATGACAGGCAGCTGAGGGGAATAAATGCCAGGCATTTCCCCCCTTCTTGATTTCTGGCACCTGGAGGATAGTGGAGAGCCAATGTGGTTTTTTTCCTTCTGGTCTGTGTCCCCATGCAGGGAGGTACCACAGGTCTCTGTGGCACCCCCATGGCTCACACTATCTTGAGCCTGCTGTCTCAACAGGAAAACAAAAGACCTTTCATCTCCCAGGTATGCTTCTCGCACAGTTTTCTGTTATTATACATTTTGGGGATATAGTGGGATGCTCTTTCATATTAGAAGTGCTGAAGGACCTACTTTATTTCCCATCCCCCCAGGCATAAGCAGCGCAGGCAGATGGCATTTTTATGCTAATTGCACACATGCAGGTAACTGCATCTGCACTGCAGGTGCCGTCCTGCTTTAGCAGCACTGTTACACCTGAAAAGCCACAACTGCTGTACACACTGATACCCCACAGAACCACAGAGCAGGCAAACAGCAATGATGAATGTGCTGCAGTGATGTTTGAAGGAAGCAGGAAAACAAGTCAGGAAAGTTTTGCTCTGAGCTCTCTGGTTGATTCCCAGCTGCTACCATGCTGCAGTGCTTAGGTGCTTTGTGGCGTTTGCTGACGCCAGATGTCCTCATTGCAAGAGGTGGCACTGGGAAAACACTGGGTGCACTGTGGGTGTTGATCCAGTGACTGACAGCTGCCAGCACCCTTGCGCCACAGTGACATATCGATGTTGCCCTCCTGCCTCTGCTTGGGGACTGGCATCCTTCCGGCAGACAGTTTGAGTCAGGTGACAAGGTCTTTGGATTTTGTTGACTTAGGTTATGTATTTTTGGCTGTGTGCTAATTGGTGACAAGAAAAGGCAGCTTCTGTTAATAACATTTTGTAGCAAAGAGCTGGCTGGAGATAAGCAAGAAGAAACATTTACCCACACTCGTTGCTACGGAAAGCTCCATTGCCGCTTCCTGTGAAACCAGGACCAAAGTCCAGGCTGAAACTTTACCTTGGCGGAACTTCATTACCTGGGGGTGCACTGCTGTGAGAAGGAAGAGCATTTGGCTCTGGAGGTTTGTCTGGCAGGATAGAAATAGCAGGAATGAGCTGGGTTGGGCAAGCCGCTAAACCTCCCCTGATCTGCTTAGCAGAGAGACCAAATACACTGTGAAGGTGCCAGGGACAAAGCTGTGTGAGGCTGCAAGGGCAAGAGGGAGCTGGTCAGCAGGATGAGACATCGTGTGTAGATGATGGAAGCAGCAAGAAACAGTTCAGTTGTGGTGGTGGAGAGGAGAGATTTGCTTTGAACTGTCTCCTAATGATTTCTATGCCTTCAGGCCAAAGACTAATAGCTGAGCTTGTGCCTCTCTTCATGCCTGTGCCTTAGAACCTACATGAGTCATTGCCTCTGCTTAATCCGAGCACATTCTGGGACCCAGCCCTTTGTACTTCCATAGATGTTTCATACCCAGCATCCCAATGCCACCTGATCTCCAGCCCAGTGGGAGCACCAGCACACATTTCTTCAAGGAATCTCTTCAGAGGGTGTCTTTTGGAGGAGAGAAAAAACCTCACAACTTTACTCTAAAATAATATTAATCTGTTCAGGAAGGATATATTCTGCATTCCAGCTTCTGGGAGCTCTATGGTAGGATAACATTTTTTAGAGTTCCTCTCATTGATCTGTTAAATACAGAGCACTCTGCAAACTTGTCCATAAAATCACAGCATGTAGGGGCCTTTGGCAAGAGCGCTGTGCAGCAGTGGAAGGGTTAACAGAGGAGTCAGCTGTCTCTTTAGTATGTCTCAGATGTCACATACAAATACCTAAAAGGCAGCTGGGTTGTGTGAAAGGAAATCAATGGATTAAGATTGTGGTCCCAGCTCAAAAGCTTTTTTGTGACTTCAGGAATGCCTCATACCCCATCTGTTAAATTGAAATAATACCTATCCCCTGAACACACCATGAAGATTAATTAATTAATCTCTTTTTTTTAAGAGGAAAAGGAAAGAGCTAGAGAAATAATAATACATAGTTGCCTGGCAGTAATGTCAGCAAGCACACAATGCCACAGCCCATGGCAGTGGCAGCTGCAGGTCACTGGTAGGAAGGGAGCAGTACCTCAGCTCTTTTCACCTGCACCATAACTGAGGGTGCTCTGCGCTCTGCAGTGGTCCTGGCTGCTCCTCTGGCAGGCTGCAGACCACAGCCAGCCAAAAATGCCTCGCCAAGGGACATACCTATGGCAATGCCAGCTCTGCCAGGAGCTGCTCTGCAGCACAGACCATGTGCACGCAGGATGCAAGGGAGAACTGGCAGCAGCTTTGGCACCCGCATGGCAGGAGGTGGTGGAAATGGGGTTAGGGGGAGGTGAAGAGAAAAGTGGAGGCTGGGTACTGTAGAGCAACTCCTTCCTTTGATACCTCTCAAGGGGAGTGTCAGACAGACACCTAGACCGCAGTGAGAGGAGCGCTCACAGTGTACACAGATTTGTCTCCAGACTGTTTACTCCAAGCTTGTCCGAAGGTTGAAGCCTCTGCAGCTCCTCACAGGCAATAACTTTTCCTGTACCCTTCATCTAGAACCCCTCATCAAAATTAGAGGGAAGACAAACACAGAAATGCTGCTTTTCTCTCTATGAGCAGCATCCCAGTCACAAGAATCTCAGCTTCTCTTCAAGCCAAGAGTGGACTGAACACGTTCCTTCAATGTTTTTTGACAGTCTGGCTCATTTTATCAAACCCAGTCAAGATGAATGAAATACGTGTTTACCCTTGGTGGGCGAGCAGACAAAAGCTGCATGTAATTGTCCTCTGGGTGCCTGCCATTCCGTGGGGATTTGTAATCATTTTGAAAAAAGAGATTTTCCCTTGTCACTGGAGGAGACAAGCTGGCACCTCAGCACAAAACATACCACTTAAAATAGCTTTTAATGTGGCCTTGAAAACTATTTTTGGATGACAAAAAAAGTGGTGTAAGGGAAGACTGGAGTCATGTATTGTAACTGTCACTCAAAACCAAAGGCTCTATCATTTCATGAAGATTGTCAGATGTAGCGTGCACGGGGGATATGGGACACCAAGATAATCTAACTGGTCCCCAGGCTTTGCTACACATGGTGAGATTCGAGAACTCAGGAAGTGCTTCCTCCTATGAGCATTGACTCACAATGACCACCTCCACTTTTAGTTTCTTCCTTTTTCTCCAAATCATTTGCAGGAAGAGTGACATTCCCATCCTGTAATAAAGCCAACTGCGGATTTGTGTTATGATCCACAGGTTAGTTCCCCATCAAGTTGCCATGGCTTCCAGACTACTTTCAGGACGGTACATGCTGCCTGTGCGTTCCTCACCCTAGAGCAGGCATCGTCCTTGGTGCTACCAGACAACAGCTGTGTAATAAACCCAACTTTATGTTTCCATTGAGGATCCCGAATTTGTTTCTCAAGATCAAAAATGTGGAGACATAGAAAAGGGCTGATGAACAGGGTTTTTGAAGACTGGTGTCTCCATCTCATTGGAAGTCATCTGAAGCAGAACAAACGAGGAGATACATATATATATAAAAATGCAGGAGAAACCCATGGAGGCTATTAGGAACAGGAAAGCAGAGCAGCCCCTTTCTCAAGGAATCAGATGCAGTCTGGGGCTGTGGGATGAGGCCTGGGCTGATGTGCCCAGAACAGCAGTAAGGAGGCCCAGAAAAGGCTGTGAAGAACACATGCACTGATTAATGCGAGCCTGGACTGAGTGGAGCTGGGCAGCACATCCCTCGACGCTGGATGCTCCTAAAGCTGGGGGTCTAGCCAGTACCCCTCACCCCAGATTCGCCTCAGTTCAGTACCACTTCCTTACTGGAAGAGCTGCGAAAACCTCACCCCAAAGAGCAGCGCCGCGCTAGCGGGGGCCAGGACGAAGCGAACCCGTGACGGGAGACCCGGCTGTGCCCGAAGGAAGGGTGCCCCACGCTCCTGCGGCCAAGGTGGCCACCCCATCCCCGCCGGGCGGTCCCGCACCCACCGCGGGCCCTCACAGGGCGGCACTGGCCCGAACCGCAGCGCCTCTGGCCCAACCCCGCCGCAAACAGCCGGGCCGTGGAGATGAGGCGACCGGGCCCGGGCGGCCATTTCCCGCCCCGTGCGGCTCCGCAGCGGCGGCGGGCGCGGGCGGCCAGAGCCCCACGGCGGCCCCGCCCCGCCCGGCGCTCCGCCCGCGCCCCGCCCGGCGCCCCGCCCTGCCCCGCCCTGAGGAGGAGCCTCCTGCCCTGCTCGTAGTCGTCCTGGTCGACGCTGACCAGCAGCCGCACGTCCTCGCGGCCCACGGCGCGGCGCAGCCCCTCGGTGAGGAAGACGCCCTTGAGGGCCTCGAGCAGGGCCCCGCTCAGGTAATCGCCCCAGAAGGCCTCCAGGTAGGAGAGCTCCGAGAACTTGATGTCGCACAGGATGGAGCCCAGATCCCGGGATTTCAGCACCCCCGAGGCCTGGCCGAACACGTCCAGCGCCCGGCCCGGCCCCCGGGGACGGCTTGAGGGGTCGCCGCGGCGCAGGGCCCGCTCGTGCTCGCAGTACTCGGCGCGGAC